TGATTAGAATTGTTTAGAAGATTGATGTCAATCTTCAATTATTTTTTTTTCGTCTGTTAAGTGTACTTGTTGAAATGTACTGTAAACTAGAGTAAAATTAAGTGCTAAGACCCAGCATTTTTTGCTTTGCCACGAACGCAGGGGCGAGAAAGGAAACTCCAACGAGAGTTTACAAAAAAAGGAAAACAACTGCAAGAATCACATCTCGGTATAAGCAAGGAGTTAAAAGAGGCGGAGCTTAAAGTTGAAGATCTTCAAAGTGGTAAGTGTTTTGTAATGCCATCTCTTGCTAAGTGTATCGATAAAATAATTTCTTGATTTTTTTTTATGCGCATAACACAATCTATTAGCTTCTTGGAATTTCAAGTTTTGTCACATGTTTGAAATGGACAAATATAAAAAGGAAAGTTGTCTTCTTAAGTTTATAAACCTCTCGTGTATGTGTGTTAAACCAACAAACCGATGAATGACGACTGTCTTAAGATTTCATGATTATGCTGATGTTTGTTTCATTTTGAGGAAGATAATATGTTACCAAGATCATTTTTAAGTTGGACTGTTTTGAGCTTAAGAGTGTCATTGCATGTATAGCTAAAACTTTGGTTTTCAATTTCTACTAACCAGAATATATGTATATATGGAGAGAGGGGAGGAAGGAAACAGTCTTATTGAAGCGTTATCAGTTATAACTTGATTTTGATATTCTTGCGTCACTGGGATACCGGTTTCGTAGTTAATCGCACTCTTCAGTATTATCCACTCTACGTTTTGCTTGTAATGAGAAAATAATGAATATGCACATACTTTTTATATGTTGTGTGATTAACTAAAGTTTTCTTGAAACCAAAGGACGCAACTAGTCGATATATATCTATTCTGTTTTATCCACAGGTAAAACATAGAGTGTAAAAATGACTTTCCCTCTTTCTTATAGCACGTATGACTGAAGAGTGGGCTTGCCCACGAAACCTAGAATCCTACTGAAACAAGAATGTCAAAATAAAGTGATATCTCAAAATATTTCGGCAATACTTTTTCTATATGAAAACAGTTTTATGTGCACTGTTATTGTTTCTCTATATATATGCCTTTATTTTTATATTATTGCAACTTCATATGAACTTCACCTGAATCTAATGAAACTTTTGATCTACACAATGTAATTATTAGTTAATACTACAGATTCATTCTTCCATACTATTTTTGTCTACCGGACTTATAACTCTAAAATTTGGGGTTTGATCCGTGCGGAACTTTGCGTTTAAATCAAAACATTAATCCATTCTATTCACTGAATAAACTACTTGAAAGAATGTGTTTTTTTTCCTCCTGTGACTAGAATTGTGTAGCTGCACTCATCTCACAGATTGACTATAAGAGTTCGGGCTTACTAGACCAATTGTCCAAGTGTTAAATGATCAGCAATGATATTTGCTACGTTTTTTTCTTCTAGCTAATGCCTCTAATGGCCAGTGTATGTTGTGTAAAAGGATTTTGTTCATTTAAATTCTTTAAATGAGTGATGGAAACAGCATGTGATGATTTTTGAAATACTTATTATTCCATGTTAGTTAACAGCTGTTGATAGGTTTAATAATGCCCCCCCCCCCCAGTGGCACAGCGGAATGTCTGCGGACTTACAACGCTAGAATCCGGGTTTCGATACCCACCGTGAGAAGAGCACGGATAGCCCATTGTGTAGCTTTGTGCTTACTTACAAACAAGGTATGATATTTTTCTACAAGACGTATGTAATCCGTTATAATGAGCTCTGAGATGAGACACTCAACCATTCAGTCATTAGGGACAATGTTTGTTAGAGTAATCAGTAATACGTTTGGCAAATCTGTGTTCATCATTTAGGTAACTTTCTCTCATATCTTTTCATTGCTGGGAATGTTTGAGTGAATGGGTTAGCCCTCTTTAGTTTGCTTCATCTCTTCAAATGTTTAATAATTGCTGACAACGTTTCGGTGAGATTAGGTTAACCCCCTTTAGTTTGATTGATCTTCTCAGATGTCTATTATTTGCTGGAAACGTTTCAGTGACCTTGGATTAACCTCCTTTAGTTTGGTTGATCTCATTAGATGTCTAATAATTCCTGACAACGTTTGAGTGAGCTTGGGTTAGCCTTCTTTAGTTTGACTGGTCTCCTCAAATGTTTAATAATTGCTGGCAACGTTTCAATGGGCTTGGATTTGCTTTCTTCAGGTTGCTTAATACTCCTCACATCTGACAACTTTTGTCAACTTTTCGGTGAGCTTCCTGTACCTCATTTTAGTGGCTATGATATTTTTATTTTGTATTTACTGTCAACGTTTCGGCAAATTTTCGTTGTTTTTTTTCGCCTCCAGAGGCTGTTTTATTTGATAATTATGTATCATCAAATGAAGCTGAAAAAAAAAAACAACAACAATCATTACGAGCAAAACGCTGCTTAAAAGTAGTATCAATAAGTATTATTCAGAAACTTCTATAATATGATGCTTTGTCTAAAAAAAAGAATGTACATCTAGATGTACCAAAATATGGGAGAGGGGCATTAGATAAAAATGAATGTTCTGTGTTGCTAAGAAACCTTTGTTAATTGGGACTAAACAACTAAACTCAGCTAGTTCAATGAATCCACAATCATATCTATTTCGGAATAGGTTATGAGTGCAAATGTCTTAACCCTAACGTTAACTAAACTGAACAAACAGGTGCCAGTGAACGCTCTACCCGCTAGGGAAGTCTAGTGACTATCACAAGCACGGGTAACAGTAATTTAAGTTTATGTAGATGGATTCATGCAGATAACGTTTGAATAATAATACACATGTGTAATAACCATATGTTGCGTGATGGGATTTCCAAATGTAAATGTAAAAAGTTATTCCATAAGTCACGACCTCTAGCGATCGTTCTGCACCTTATATTATACTTCGACAAGGGTAGCAGAAATAGAAGCCAAAATTCTTGTCAGTTGGGTGTATATATTATTCCTAGAACTAGTGACGTAGACACGTACGTTACATGATTTGGTCTTGAACACTTACTGTCTTGTTTGAATTCAAGATTCATTGCAATAAAAAACGTGCATGTTTTTGTTACATATATATGTATATATTCTTTTTTTCTGAGAAGGTTAACGTAAATACGCCATCTGTCTTTAGCGTTTACTTGATATTTCGACTTTAGTGGGAATGGAAATTATTTATTAGTGAATATCACCTAACAGAACTTAAAACGTAATTTATCATTACAAATTGAAGTAGTCTAAATGAAATACAGTCCATCTTAAAGAAGAAATATAAATAGTGGAATTAACATGATTTCACGTCAAAATATTAAACTTTACCTATTATCTGTATTTTTCCTTTCTTTTACATATTCCACCGATTATATATATATATATATATGTGTGTGTGTGTGTGTATTATGTATATACAGTTGATGAAGAAATGCGTTTTTTACGCAATCTGTCAGAAATAAAAACTAACTTGATACACTGGATCTTCAGCTTTTGTAATCAGTTTTGATAAAATACAGTTTTTCGTATCTCAGGGTTAAATATGTTGAATTATCAGTGTATGCTGTTTAAGAATAATATTACGTTCATTATATCTTAAAGACCATGAAGAGTGTTGCGTTCATCATATCTTAAAGGCCATGAACAAAGAGTGTTGCGTTCATCATATCTTAAAGGCTATGAACAAAAAATGTTACATTCATCATATCTCAAAGGCCATAAACAAATAGTGTTACATTCATCATATCTTAAAGGCCATGAACAAAGTGTTACGTTCATCATATCTTACAGGCCATGAACAAAAAATGTTACACTCATCATATCTCAAAGGCCATAAACAAATAGTGTTACATTCATCATATCTTAAAGGCCATGAACAAAGTGTTACGTTCATCATATCTTAAAGGCCATGAACAAAGTGTTACGTTCATCATATATTACAGGCCATGAACAAATAGTGTTACGTTCATCATATCTTACAGGCCATGAATAAATAGTGTTACGTTCATCATATCTTACAGGCCATGAACAAAAAATATTACATTCATCATATCTCAAAGGCCATGAACAAATAGTGTTACGTTCATCATATCTTACAGGCCATGAATAAATAGTGTTACGTTCATCATATCTTACAGGCCATGAACAAAAATATTACATTCATCATATCTCAAAGGCCATGAACAAATAGTATTACGTTCATCATATCTTACAGGCCATGAACAAATAGTGTTACGTTCATCATATCTTACAGGCCATGAACAAAGGAAGTTTTTACAAAACTGATTCTTCCTCGTTATGTCTATTAGGATAAAGTTACACAATCCTGTATTAGTATATTTTAAGCTTCAACAAAGCCTTCTGTATGCTACATTATTGAATAATAATGGAATTTAGTCTTCAATAGAAATCAAGTATAGATACTTTGTTATGCAATTATATTTTCCGTGAAGTATCGCTACATTAAAAAGGTCTTTTTGACGTAAAGCCTCAAACAAAGATGTCTTCTGGTGAACAAAATACTTCACACGTAAACAATAAAGGTACCCCACTTTTTCTTCTCACGGATTTTAGAAACAACAAAGGAAAAATAAACCATTATAAAACGTGGCTTGGCTTTCCCCCTCTTATTGTCATTGGACCAACATTTTTTTAACTCATTTAAAATCAATTTCATTTGTGCTAGAACACAAATTACGGAGAAAACGTGTTTTGTAATGATTAGTTTTACTCCAGGTTTAGCCATGTAACCAGAACTTGTCTGACCAGTTGCTTATTTGTATGTATACGCGCTACTTTCTTCCTCTTATTCTGAAGAAACAGTTGTGTAATATATTTCTTCTAAACGTCCTCAATTAAGTTGACTCGTCAATGGAATAAATATTCAACCAAGCAGCTTGTTTGATTTTACCACGCTTTTGTTTTCTTGTTTTTATATGCTTTCTATATTACCTGCCCATCCTTTCTCTTATGTTGAATTTTCTTGCAGCCTTAGAGACGGCCCAGTCCGAGTTGTTTGACTTGAAATCTACATACAATGAAGAGACTCACACCAAGTAAGTTCAGCCGATTTCTAGTTTGCTCGATTTTTTTTTTATGAACACACACATTTGAATTGATGAGCCAATTATCTTTAAGCGAACACCGTAGACCTGTAGCCTCGAGGTGGTATATTTTTATTTGTATACCAACGTCATGCTTTGCTTAGGGCAGTTCACTGAAACATGCAAAAAAAAAAATCTATGGAAAAGTGTGTTTGTGTTTTGTATTTAATTTCATTATGTTGTAGCTGTAAAAATCGATATATTTTTACCTACTGCCGACATATCATCTGACAGAAAATCAAGAACAGTTTTTTGTTGTGTTCATTATTGATTGTTGTATTTAGTTTGATTGATTTATATATTTTTTTACAGAAGGTAAATAAAGATATAGGGATTAAAAATATTTGTTTGTAGGAGGCACTAGGAAGTGGACGTTTTCCACAATTAGCATGCATATTGTTAAGCTTGGAAAAAAGGTCAACTACAAAATACACGTATGTTTCAGTAAGTAGGTATTATTATGTTACAGAAGCTAAAAACTGATTCTATTGATCCCTGAATGAATGATAACTTGAAATGTTATATGTGTGAAAGGATAAGTTGAAACGTGTTATATTTGAACGAATAACTTGAAACGTATTATGTATGAACGGATAACTTGAAACGTTTTATGTGTGAACAGATAACTTGAAACGTTTTATGTATGAACAGATAATTTGAAACGTTATATATGAAACTTTGATATCACATTTTTAAATTTTATTTGGATACGCACTCGACTATTGTGTTAAAGTAAATTCCCAAAGTCAGTAGGTTTTACAATATACTGTGAGATAAGATTACGAAGTCGAAAAGTTGTACATTGTGCTGTTAAATGCAACGTATATACGAAAATTATAGTATTGGAAACTGGAACTAGTAGAACACGATGAGAAGTGTTAATGTCAAATTTTGTTGATCGACCTCAGTGTAGCAGTACCACTCTCGAATTAGTAACTTCTGCCCTTCTCATCTCGATTGACCATCGCAAAATGTTATGTTATGACATTACATTTTTAAAGAATATATTCTTTTTACGAACGAACAACCATATAAGCTTTCACCCGCACAGAAAATTAGACAGTTGGTTCTCTTGCTGGAATAATGCTTTGTCCAGATCTAGATCGCCCTGTATGAGACCAATACTTTCAAATGTTACCACTTATGATCGTAAGTTTCAGGTGTCTTTTAGTAACTTTTCTTTAAAAATATAAGAATAACGAATTTTCTGCCAAAAACATTTTCGAGTTTTCTAACTGTTTACAAAGTTTGAAGTATCATGATAATGTATATAAGTAAAGAGAGAACATTTAAAAAAAAAGGAAGTAAATGTAGGAATGGCTAATATCAATCCTTCAAAAACAATGCAAACAAGATAGTGGGGAGAGCAGTTGCATCATCCATACGTAATAGCACAAGCACATAGTGTAGTAGAATGGTAACAGACAAAAATAGGATAAATTAAACTCACTTGTGATTGAATAGTTATATATTACTATATGTTAATTCTTGCCTGTGCTAGTATGTAGAGGTGATGTAAAGGCCATCCCTGCTATCTTGTTTGCATTGTTTTTGAAGGAATGATATTAGCCATCCCTACATTTACTTCCTTTTTTGAAAAGTTTTTCTTGTTTGCTTGTTGTTGTTGTTTTTTAATGTAGTGTTTCAATAGACATAGGAAGATTGTATTTATAACCAAGTTCTAAATACAATTAGCTTCCAAGTGTAATATTTATTGTTTATCTATTATTGGCTGGTAATTCCTGTTTCACCCTATACTTAAGCTTTTTAAAAAAACTCCAAATTTCTGTAAGAAAGCTAACTTCAAGGGATAATGATAACATCGTTTATACTACAATTAGGATTTTTTTAATTACCACTAGATAATAATATTTATAAACGCGTATACTCCGTTTGAAACTTATGTTACCTCAGTGAAATTGGTTGACACCATTGTTTTGGTTTTTGAGTTATCATATAATAAAAAAGAAGAAGAAGAAAGAAGAACAAGAAATTCAAACTTTTTACTATGATATTTAGAGACATTCTCAGAACTTGTGACTCAATCATTACATAGATATTGTTATAAACGGAAACACTGTGTAGTATTGTAAAGTTCTGATGACCTATTGAGGAGATATTTAAAATACCGTTTCGATGAACAATCTGAGCCATCCCTTCATAGACAGTGCTACAGCCTGCCTGATAAAACTAGTTCTTATGTGGAACCTTTCTCTTTGTACTATCATCCTACTGTTTATTTGTATTCTGAGTAGGGTTGTTGTTTTGTTTTTGTTTTGTATTTTTCGCTTTTAGATATAGTGAATGAGTTCTCTTGAATACGTTTTTTTTTAAGCTAGTGTCTTTTGCAATAAAAGAATTACAAATATTGTTGAATTTGCCAATTTACCATCTGGTTGGGGTCAATATAGGATTAAAAGATTTCTTTTCTTGAGCTTTTATGAAAGCAATGTCCAGCAAACGTCCTGTTGATATTCAGTCTCCTTATTATGTTGATTAAAAGTTCACCATTGTTCAGAGATAAAGATATATTAATAAATTTCTAAAATATTTAAACGGTAAACACCCTAAATATAGAGTTTAACAGTTGTATATAAAAATCAACCGAGTTCACTATATTTTTATACTTTAATATATAACCAGTGAAGTGGATATAAATTTAGTATATATCATAAACCGACTTTCAAGATTATGTGCTCATTTAGATAGTTATGTACCCACAACACTTTAGGTGAATTTAGTGAAGCTCTTGTGAATCAAACTTATAGGACTGGAAGGAGTTATTTCTTGTTACATTAACTAGTATAAAATTTATTGAAACAAATTAGCTTAACAGTAATCTTTATTAAGACAGTGTTTGAAAGTGAAGAAAATGTACAATAACTTCTGTTATACAAGGTTTGAAACTTCAGAAGAGGTGCAATGCCTTCTATAAAACAGGATTTGAAAGTCTAGATGTCCAATGCCTTCTATAAGACACGATTTGAAAGTCTAGAAGATGTACAATGCCTTCTATAAGACACGATTTGAAAGTCTAGAAGCTGTACGATACCTTCTATAGGATACGATTGGGAAGTCTAGAAGATGTACAATGCCTTCTATAAGACACGATGTGAAAGTCTAGAAGATGTACGATACCTTCTATAAGACACGATTGGAAAGTCTAGAAGATGTACAATGCCTTCTATAAGACACGATTTGAAAGTCTAGAAGATATACGATACCTTCTATAAGACACGATTGGATTGGAAAGTCTAGAAGATGTACAATTTGTTGTTTAAGTCAAGGTTTGAAACTATGAAAGAGGTAGGGTATATATATTTTAGAAAAGGTTTAAAAGTTTTAAGGATTTGGAGTAACCTATGCAAAGTCATATTTTCCGATGTCAAAATTTTGAATGTTTTGTTCTGCTACATGTGTGATTTTCAATTTTTTCTTTTAACTCTTCATGAACCAAAAACGACCTTGCGTACCCAACACTCAAATAGTTCTATCTGCAGAATCTGAAACTACAAAGTGTAAAAGCGGTTCTGACATAAATAAGTATGTAAGGTAACGAACTTTCCAAACAAAACATTATTTTCATTTAATGTTTGTTTAAATATCACATACAAACTATCTTTACCATTCAGACTTCTGTAGAATGCTCACGAACTCATAGGGATCTGCGGACCACAGGTCACAACAATTGTACTACAATTCATTAACAATATATTTTTATCGTTTTCTTCATAATACTGTATAATCTAACGCAGTTATTATCGGCATGTTATTGAAAGTTTTTATTACTGTAAAACAGAATATGGAACTTTCATACTAAAACCCAATACCGGTTTCTGACCTTGACTATTTCCCTTTAACTTAGCTGTCTAGAAACGTCCGACATAAATCGTTTTCATAGTGAAATTATATGAATTCTACATCTATATATGTACATAATAAATTTGCTTGAGAGAGTCAATTTTGTTAAAATATATAAACAAAATTACAAATTGAAACACCCCTCTATTTTGTACGATAGTTATTATTTTTATTTCAAGGTAAGTCTTGATATTGCAGAAAACTGAGATATTTGAAGTTAGTGTTTTAAAACAAATCGTTTATTTGGGGTATTGTTTTAATTTCTGCGTGGTAATCAATATAATGGAAGAGATGAAAAGCTGGTATTAAAAGCAGCGTATTAATTGTGGAACCGACCAAAGACCTGTCTTTACTGCAAATAACTAAAGAAATATCTTTTCTAAAGAGACTTGAATCCTTAGAAACCTTTCCTTATGCTCAGTATTTAAAGTGGTTTGTAAAAGGTGCCGGTATGCACGTATTTGGGAGAGGGTAAGTTTTTGTTTTCGGAGAATAAGGGTAGTGACCCAAGGTGAAAATAATTCGCAATATAATTGCAGAGACACTAAAGCAAAAGTATTTTCGTGCGAAACCAAAGAGGCGAGGGTTAGGGTGTTTAGCTGCAGTATATACATATATTATTTTACCGGTGTCATACCGTTATTTATCCTCACCGGTATGCACGACGGCGGACATCGCACGACTCTAACCACAGCTTATAGGAGTATGCAAGATCAATGCTCAATATGGAGATGAAGTAAGAACGTAGCGATAGCACTACCACTACGCAACATACAACACGGTTGAATAAATAGGTGGTAGAATTATCATTACACCGTGTGATATAAGGCAAGTTGTTAAACTGTGTGTTCTGAATCTTTGTTATTTGATAGTAACATTACCACAACTCCTTGGGTGAAGAGGCATTAGCCTGCGTTCAAGAATGCTCTCATACTACTAAAGGTTTACTTCATTTTTGAGTTTAGTGGCTGAAGACACGCCAGTAGCTCCGTAATATGCTGTAGCGTGACTTGATTCAAGAAGAAAACAGTCAATTAAAACGAATGAAATCGTTTTCTAAATTCTAGATACCATTTGTTTCGACTGTGAGATCCACGACCAACCAATTAAGTAGAAAACTATTCGAATTACTGAGCAGTTCAGAAGACGTTGTGAGTGATGAAGGACACGTTTTCATGACGGGGCTTGTTGAAGTTACCTTCCTTTAAACATTTAATATATGTGGCATTTAAGTGTGCGTGACAGGTGTATTGTATGTGAGAAACTTCTTTTACTGTCATTTTGGCCTGTTTGTTTTTAATAGCTTAAATTAGTAAGCTAAATTTGCGTACAAATATGTCGAACATATATCCAAGTTGTGTAGTCACGTTCCTTACCACCAGGTGTCACAGTCGAATAACTAATAACGTATATTAGGATTTTTAGGTTTTATTTTGAACCAATTATTTGTTTTCTTATATACTTTGCTGGGAATAAATGTAGACGGTCTAATTATCAATAATATTGCTTTCTTTTTAAAATTAAACTAGCTTATCTCTTATGTTAAAACGTTTCAGTTAATTTAGCTACTACCAGGTTTTAAGTTGTACTAATAATTTGGACAAGGTTAATTGATCATGTTTTTTAAAAGTAACGCACTTTAGTTACTTAGAACGTTATTTAGACTTACGTACAGTTTGGTTGAGTAAGAATTGTTGTTTTGAATATTCATTCAATTAATTAGTAAAAGTATTGGTTACAGTGATGTAATCAATATAAATAATTTGTAACCTTGGTTCACCGGCAAAAACAAAAGGGGGGTGGGGGAGAAAGACACTCGATAGACACCTGTTAAATTCTCTGATGCGTACAATGTGGGGCAGTGACAGCCGTGACCTGATTTCAGGCTTTAATTTTCCTTGAAACATATTGTCAGTCAAGCTCCGGTTAGTCTTGTTCTCAGTGGTTTGTGGCCAAGGTGTTCACTCGAACAATGGACACGTTGCTGTCATGAGATCCTTCTCGTCACTCACCTTTCTTGGCAACTACATACATGCAATGTAAAACAAGACGGTTATCTTTTTTAAAATACTCGAATGTTGTTATTGTACTTAATCATATTAGTGTTTATACAAACAGAGTACATGTTTTTTTTGTTTTGTTTTTCATGCTGTGCTTATTCGTTCACAATATTTTGGTCACTGTTTTTATAAATATATATCGTATTGCTTTGTATGCGGATAAAAAACATGATTCTTCAAAATTAACAATATTTCGGCTTGTCTCTGCAATCCTTTGAGGAATTGAAATTAATTGTAATTTCTTACTTGAAGTAGCGTAGTTACAAGTCACACCACGTGTTTAATAGAGAGAGGTCTGTCATATAGATAAAATTCAAAATCTCGAATCTTCCTAGAAACGAAAGTATATGACTTTCCTTCAATCTGATCGCAAATTTTCCATGTTCGTAAAACAACAATAACAACAAAAACGAATCAAATTGGAATGAAATGTTTTAACATCATGGTTTAGGTGGCAATAGCATGGCGACTTTATCAATTTCTATTGGGTAACAGTTTTAGTTCAATTATTATAGAAGGACCAGTATAATTCAGTCATGTAATTAAATTTATGATCAGTTATAGTTATTCGGGTAGAGAAACTGGTAATTTTGAGAACCCAGCCACGCCCTCTGGAAATTATGTATTTAGAGACGTAACAACAAAAACGATAACTATTGAGGCTGGAAACTGTTATGGAAGTGTTAAATTTGAGTAGACACAACAGTACTGAAAAACTGCTCTCTATTCAACCGCGCCCTCTAAAAACTATACGTGTTAGTTGCACTTAAAGTATATAGCGGCAAAACATTTTACATGCTGGAAACTGTTATAAAAACATTACAATAAAAATGCTAATAAATACTTTTACTAGTTTTATGATGCCTTCTTGACGCTTTACTTCCACAGGTTAATGTCATAGGGCTACTTTAAGTAAAGCATTTCAAATAAACCAATGAGTGTCATAGCCTACCCAGCTTGATGAGTTGTTATCGTTAAACACGACACCTCGTGGACAACATTTAATAACAAATCTGGTTCCGCTGCTGTTACTGCATTCAAATTTCTGGATGTAATTTATTAATAGTTGGGTGTAACGTTTTGAGTCATCACATTTTCAGACCCAAGTAGATGGAAATTATGATGTTTACTGTCGAAGCACAGCTGTTTTGTATGAAAAATATCTCACGTTTTCTTGAGCTTTAGGAATTTCCAGCGTGTCTTTTGATAAGTCATTAGTACCTCTGTTTTGAATTCAAAACGTCGATTTAAAATACTATTTTTTAATAAACTTGTTTAATAATTTTAGATAGAAGTTTTGGTATACGCAGATGCTTATATATAACCAGTTTTATTCAAGCACAGCATAAAGGAAGTGATTATTTTAATGAGTTTTGTCTTGCTTTGTTTCTCATAGCAGATTCTGAGTCATTCGAATTCCGTGATCAGATAATTGAAACGATTGAAGGTTTTCTCGGCGGAAAGACAGTCATTGACCTCCATTACGCTCTGCTCCGCGCCTAATTTAATTGTTTTCAGTAGCTCTGGTGTATTAAATAGGATTGTGAACATTGCATGGTTAACTACTAAGTTTTAAAATTTATTCTTGTCTTCTCGTGCAGGTCGAATGAAATGGAAATTATCCTGAACGATCTAGAACGTACTAATCAGGTAAGTAGAGTTATATACTTGGGGGAGATTGGAGGGGGATACACTGAGGAATGACTTCTTAACACCTGGTTGTCTGTTGTATTCTAACCCTTAATCAAGCCGGATGGGGGCGCTGTCATAATTCACTCATGTAATTTAGTGGGCTCCGTCCTCCCACAGTGATGGGAAGGATCAAGGGTGTCAGCAGCAAGAAGAGGAAAGTCGGGTTGGGGTCAGCTAGCGCATACTTTCCACGCCTTTCAGACCAAATAATTAGTGCAGAATGCAGAACAAATCGCAGGTCCGGTCTGCTCTGTTCCGTTACGTCTTGGTGGTGGATCCAAGCGGACTGTTTATCAATCTGTCGTTTATTAGAACTCTTCTTAGTCTGATTCCCGACAAAGTTTGTTAATTGGATCCCCTGCCGTGACCAGAGTTGCATCTCTTCGGCCACGAGTGTAAAGCAACTTTCTTCGGAATGAGGTATAGTTGGCAGTACAGGCCGGACAATTATTAATTGTGAGATAATTAAAAGTGAAGACATGATCGACCACCAGGTGGTACATCCCTTGGATTGTTATTGTTTCCTACATCAATTACATTAATATGACTTGAAGAAGCATAGAAAGAACAACATTATATTTTTCTCTTTTTTTTTTGTTGAGAGTGCAGTAACATTGATTTTAGAATTTCATCACATTATTTATAGGTACTTGTGAAATTATTTAGAAGGCTAAAGCTAATATATGTTATCTTTTTTTATAAATGCCCGATACCATTGAAATTCTGTATTTTACTTAGTTAGCTAAGAAACAATCCACCTGTGGATTAGCGGCAAATTTTCACACTTATAACGCTAAAATTCTGGATTCGATTCCCCAGTGTAAACAGAGCGCAAATAGCCCATTATTTAGTGTGGTTTTGCGCTAAAACAACATGACAAACACCCACAGTTACGAAATTTTGAACAGATTATGAGTTTCATTTTAAACAACACGTACGTTGCGTTTTCTTTTTGGTAAAATTCACGACCATGATCATATCGAAATGTAGATTTATCATCGTATAACTATAGTCTTGTAAAATTGTTAATGTACATCCATATAGTGCTCTGGACTTATGACTGTGACCATATACACAACTAGACTTGTTATCATATAATCATGACCATATAAACCTCTAGACTTATCATATATCAATGACCATATAAACCTCTAGACTTATCATATAAATATGACCATATACACAACTAGACTTGTTATCATATAATCATGACCATATAAACCTCTAGACTTATCATATATCAATGACCATATAAACCTCTAGACTTATCATATAAATATGACCATATACACAACTAGACTTGTTATCATATAATCATGACCATATAAACCTCTAGACTTATCATATATCAATACCATATAAACCTCTAGACTTATTATATATCAATGACCATATAAACCTCTAGACTTATCATATAAATATGACCATATAAACCTCTAGACTTATCATATAACCATGACCATATAAATCTTTAGACCTATCATATAACCATGACCATATAAACTTTTAGACTTATCATACAACCATGTCCTCTAGATTTGTTATCATATCACTGTATAGAAGTAGACTTCTTAACCTATGGTCATGTAGTTCTCTAAACTTGTTATCCTCTGGCCTTATAATTCTATAGACTTGTTATCATATGGCCACATAGTTCTCTGGACTTGCTACTGATGATATAAATAGCACCTCGACCACTACTATGTCTGTCATACCCCAGCCGGCCTAATGAGCCTTGGAATTGGGCGAAGGTCCACGTCGGCACTGAATATGGCAGATGTAGTGAAGTTAACATGATTACACATTCGTCTTTGCTTTCACTCATAACGTCTTAGAAATTTTATGACCCTTTACTTGTCTATATTTACTACCACATAACCATGTAATTCACTAGATTTGTTATCTTATAGCCATCTAGTTCTCTAGACTTGTAATACTATGACCATATAGTTCTCCAGATTTGTAATCCCCATGACCATGTAGTTCTCCAAATTTGTTATTATATATATGACCATGTAATTCAATAGACTTGTTATCTTCTGGCCATGTAGTTCTCTAGACTTGGTATCCTATGGTCTCTTGGTATCTGAAGTAAGATTTGTAAATCAGGGGCATCTAGTCTCTGGAAAAACGGAGGAACTGATCATCTTAAGATGTGTGAGCTGCTAGAGAAGTGCACAAGACACAAAATATACCAAGCAATTACAGATATCTTTATTAACGCCGAAAAAATTATAATGAAAACACACTGAACGTTTGAATGTGAAGAATAAAGACAAGCACGACACTGTACAGAACGTGACTATGCTAACTGAAACTGGATGAAACAAATATTTGAAAAAAAAAACAACAACAAGAAACAAGAACACAACTTTAAAAATATAAGCTTTTGGTCTGGCATAGACAAAACAGAACGAAAACACAGAATTTTGGAAAGACAGATTCATTGGATGGCATCCAAGCAAGATATTTATTTACATTTCCAAACTTATATTCAAACTCTTGAAAAGACAATCGCAATACTAACCAGCAAACAATAACATTATTTCAGAGCCAATCAGAGTCAAGTGTATTTTTAAAACCCAACTGTACTAGTATTCTAAGTGCCTGTAGCAACTGCCCGAGAGGGTGAGCACCAAGGTGGTGAACACCACCTGCACAGATGACTCAGGTGATATTAAAGTAGCGCCCTCTTTGATTACGCCTGCAATAAAGCTATACAATTCCAATAAAGTTTTTTTGCATGTTGATCATAACTATGTGTATTCCCATAACTGAACCAGGAACTCAAAAATGATAACAAAAACATGGTATACATAAGTATTAATTATAGAATGGTGAGTTTGCACGAGTAACAAGCACCATTGATATAATCATGATCATATATGTGGGCGAAATCACTCATTTTCATGTGTAAAGTACATAGATGGCCAGTTTGTTTGTTTTTGGAATTTCGCGCAAAGCTACACGAGGGCTATCTGCGCTAGCCGTCCCTAATTTAGCAGTGTAGAAGTAGAGGGAAGGCAGCTAGTCATCACCACCCACCGCCAACTCTTGGGCTACTCTTTTACCAACGAATAGTGGGATTGACCATCACATTATAACGCCCCCACGGCTGAAAGGGCGAGCATGTTTGGTGAGATGCGGATTCGAACCCGCGACCCTCAGATTGTGAGTCGAGCGCCTTATCCACCTGGCCATGCCGGGCCCTAGATGGCCAGAGAAGTAATTAGTGGTATCAATTCCAATATTGATGATGTTTTAGTTTAAATTGTATGTGTGATTGATGTGTTATTAAGAACTCTGTAACCAACAAATCATGGACCCAAAAGCAAGTTGATGCATAGATAGTTTAAAAAACGTGTAAAAAGTAGATGTGGTCCATGGCCACATCAGTAATTCCAGTGTTCATCAAAGAGGAATATTTCATGCTTCTCTCTGGATTCATCTCACCAGAAAACTGGATTATCGTGGGTGACCCTTAGATTCATGCAACCAAAAAGCGGAATTTCACAGGTTACCCTTTGAGTTGCATAACATAAAAAACCAAGTTATTTTATGTTTTTCTTTGAATTAGATCACTGAAAACCTGGACTGTCTCAGGCTACTATTAGAACTCCATCATTGTAAAACTGGATTATCTTAGGTTATCTTTAGACTAATTTCTCTACAAAACTGAATTGTCTCAGATTATCTTTACATTTCTATTACTGTAAAACCGAATTAGTTTACCATTAAAGTTACATAATTTCAAAATAAGATTATCTCAGGATACCAATAAATTCATAGGATTACACATGCAGGTTTTTTTTTGATTCTGTCCGTTGGTGTCGCATTAAAATAATATCATTTTATCACGTCCACTCTTTCTTTTGGATTCGCATTAATAATAATAATAAAATATTATATTGAAATTTTCACCGTATGAAATCCTCGAACTTTAAAAATGTTAATTTATTTAGAGTTTTCATTACGACAAAAACTTAAAAACCTTCAGAAAAATGAGTGGAAGAGCGAGAAAGTATGTAGAAAGTACAGATGCTACTTAAATAAAATTGAAATGGCCATTATTACTCGAAGAATTGTTTGTTTGTTATT